TTTGTTTCGTAGCCCCATAGGGAGCTCCTCCGAATGCGGTGCATACAACGACGGTGTTCACAACGGCATATGGTTGGGACCTTCGCCAGGCTAATTTTTCAAGGAGTCCGCGGGCCAGGAGCTCTCGACTCTGTTCCTTCAGAAAGACAATAACTATCGCATGGAGGGGATGGGGTTGGGGGAGATGACCAGAGCATCCGTGTCCTCGTGTTCTGTCGGGTGCGCTTCTTGCACAGCCTTGCCCCGCATCCTCCCAAGCCCATCCTCCCAACCCCATCGTTGTCCTTCTGATTCCAGGGGCTGGCCCTTCGCTGCGGGCCGTCGCTCCCGATGGGGCCCGGACGAGCGGCTTCCAGGGCCGACGCCGAGGAGCACCGCCGGGAGATGACCGGGCAGGACATCGGACGCCCAGGTCGCCAAGCTCTCTCCCGCCCCCCCCCTCGATCCCGGCTGGCGCCTCTCTCGCTCCGTCTTCTGCAGGTCGATCGCGTCGAGAGCTCTTACCATATAGTTCCTTGTAGACTTCCACTCTCATGAGCACAATCGGCACAGCCAAGAAAACCAGATGCGTGATAATCTGGAATACCCAGAACGACGTTAATCTTCCCGTTAATTCCATCCAACAATTCGTCTTGCAACTCCACTCGCTGCGAAAAGCAGCCCAGTTCCCATTCTCAGAGATTAAGGAGCCCGCCTCAATGTCATGTCGACAGTCTACGGGGTAACATCCCCATATGCACTGCTTCATGTCGCCCTGATATGTGTAGGGCCTGAACCACGAAAGATCAAACTTATCACCAATGTCGTGAGGACCTCCTGCACTCTCCAATTCTGTTCTGTTCGGGATGCCAGATGGCCAACCATTTCCAGAGTAGGTCATCCACGCAAGATTGGCAAGACCATGCTGGTCAATGATAGAAGATTGCTGCTCTGTGCATTCCCGATTGTAGAACTTCTTGAGAAACGCAACGCTGAGAAACGGATACAATACAACGAAGAGCTTCGGGCCAGATAAAATCCAAACAAGTGCATCATTCCAGCGTGCCTGGGTTTTGTGATTCTGAAGGTCTGCCAGCTTGGGGGCGATCCGGTTCCAAACGAAGCTGCCGCCCTGAATAATGCCAACCTGCGCGGGGCGAGCCAGGTGGGCATGATCTCAGGATGCACGTGGGGATTGGGGGAGCGCTGAGATCCGTCGTTTTTGAACTCCAAGATCCGTCGGTTTTTGAATTCACAAAAAGCGTTTTTCGAATTCAAAAACCAATCGTTTCTTGAATTCAAACAATTCAAAAAGCCATCACGAAAAATCACGACTGGAACATCATGCCCAACCTCCCTGCTGCATTTTCCAAGCCGGGTCGATCTGCGAGGGCCCCAGGGCCAGAAACCGGGCGAGATCGCCCGCTGTGAAAAAACTGCGACGCCGAGATCTCAGGGAGGGCCTGGTGCTGGGTCGGGCCTGGCGAAAAAAACAAACACCCCAAAAGTACGAAACAAATACTAGAGCATGCTCCACAACACGTCCCTATTTTTGAGCTGTTTTTGGATACTCCTCCTGTAAAGGGACACGCCCAACTTAAGCCTGGTGCCAGAATCTGGCCAGTGAAAGACTCAATCAGAGAGTGGGGCGGGCTGGAGGTCTCGCAAGGGAAGCGCGGGGGCGACGCGGGCGGGCACGCTCAAAACCAGCCTGCATGGCTGCAGCACGAGAGAATCAAAACTCGTACCCCTGGGCGTCCAAGCAAGAGCAGCCTGAGAGGAGCAAGACCGAGAACACTGGACACGGTCAGGAACTTTCGGCTAGCGTGTCGCGCCGCCTGGGTTTGGCCCACCGCGCTTCGGCGCGACGCGCTGACTGCCTCGTCATTTCCCAGCCTCCCTCCCCGCGGAGCGTAGCGACACGCTCTGTCCGCTTGCACAGCATGGCGTGTCGCTAGGGCCGCCGTCGCCACACGCTAAGCACAAACTCCCGACCGTAATGGAGAACAGGCCGAAGAATCAAATATCCCAGACCCCCGACGTTGTGATCTCTTCTATGATGCGGACCCCCAGAGGTCTGGACCCCTCTCCGGGGACCGGCTTCGCATCCCGAGTCGTGTTGTGGACGGACCCGAGGCCTGGTACTCGGCGGCCAGCCTGGGGGGGGAACTGAGAAGGGGCGGGCCCTCCCAGACGCTCGGAAGTCCCCCAGCCTTTTGAGAACTTTGCGAAGCCTCCCCCGAAGACACAGAAGACTTCTCAGAAGGCCGGAAGGCTTCTGAGAAGCCCCGCCGCCTTCTAAGAGGGCCTTCTCCGTCTCGCCTTCTCCCCCTCGCCTGCCGCCCAGGTCAGGGCACCCGGAGCCCGAAGCTAAGGAAGAACCTTCCGTCATGGCTTTCTCGCGACGCGAGGGGGTCTGGGCTGCAAGGGCCGCCTCGGCAAAGGGCTGCACCCTTGCTGCTGCGCGCGGGCTCGTGGCCGCACGCTTTCGCCTCCCCGAGGGGCGCCGTGATCAGCGCGCCGTTGGTCGCCGCCCCCTTTCGCTGGGCCTCCCCTGCTCTCTCCCCTTCGGTTCTGTGCGTGCCTTCCTCCTCCTCCTCCTCCTCCTCCTCCTCCTCGTTCTCCTGCTCCTCCTCCTCCTCCTCCTGCTCGTCCTTCCCCTCCCATGCCTGCTTCCTGCCTCCCTCTCGCCCTGCCCGCTCCTCCTCCTCCTCATCCTGCCGTCCTTCCCCTCCCATGCCTGCTTCCTGCCTCCCTCTCGCCCTGCCTGCTCCTCCTCCTCCTCCTGCTCGTCCTTCCCCTCCCATGCTTGCCTCCTGCCTCCCTCTCGCCCTGCCTGCTCCTCCTCCGCGTCCTCCCGCTCCCCCGCTTCCCTGCTCTTCTTCTGCGCTGGTTTGTGCCGGGAGCCGAGGCCGCACGCGGCTGGTGCGCGGAGGGCCGAACTCGAGGGCCCAAGCTGTGGATCTACAGTCGGGGCGTTGACCTAAGGAACCCTAAATAAGGAACGAGGCCCCTGTTTTTCCATAAGTTCAACCTCGATTTCCCATGGAAGACCTCAGGAACACCCGGGGCAAACTGTGAAGCATTCAAGGAACACCGAGCCCCTCCCCAACTAAAAGGGTTCCTTCTTCAGCGCCCCGACTGTACGACGGCAGGGGTCAGGTCGGGCTGGCCAGGCCGCGGGCCACCGCGCACGCCTGACATGGGGACGTGGCCAGTGGGGACGATGCCCGACGACGAGCGCTGTCCGAAGAAGACGGCGGCTGCTGCTGAGCAGGCAATGCTCGTCACTACGTATGCGGGCCGTTTTTTTATCATCCCCCCGTTTTTGTTTTTTTTTGTTGTTGTTGTTGTATTTGTATTTGTTTGTTTGTTTTGTTTATATTTGTATTTCATATCTGTTTTGTTGAGATATATATATATATGTATATATATATGTATATATATATATATATCCACTGCGAATCCGTTCAGCCAGCGTGAGCCATTCGCAATACTTGCATTCTGGGGCTCGCGGGCTGCGCGCAGACAGCCCCCGCATTTGTTTCAGCCGTCGTCTCCTACAGCACAGACAGTCCCACAAACGGCTGTCACGTCACGGAAAGGCTACCCCGATCCTTTGGACTGTCGAGGTGCCGTGGTCACCGGAGGATGTCGCGAACGTGCAGCCGAGAAAAGAGAGAGGAGGGAGGAAGCATAGCTGCCTCGATGACGAGCTCGCCAGTGCGCGGATGCACCCCAAGATGCCATCGGCCTTCCGCCGTGTCGCCCCTCTCGGGCGGGTACGTCACGGGAAGTGGTGGTGTGCGTGCGTGCGTGTGTGCGTGTGTGTGTGGGATGGGCAGACGGGGGGCGCCCAAACTCGGCCTCTTGCGTGTCTGCTTGCTTGTTGGTTTGCTTGCTGTTCATGTATACGCACGTGCAGTACACCCTGCGAAATGCTTAAGAAATCATGGGTTAAGAAATTCATAGTCTCAGAATTTCATGAAAACCCGGGATTTCGATCAAAATCTTAGGAATTAAATTGAAACATTAAGAATAATCGAGACTCTGGCCGAAAACTTAAGTTTTCTTAAGCATCGCCTAAGGTGTAGGGGCTCGACCACGAGAAACCTTCCACAAGAAACCCAACCCTGAGACCCCAGGACGTCCATCGACTTTTGGGGTGGGAGCGTCCCGCGTTCCATGGCAACGCCATCGAGAGCCAAGAAACCCAGGGCACCCTGGAGGCAATCAGGGTGCTTCTTGGCATGGGTCTCCACTGCATAGGTGTATGCGTACTCACTGTACTTGTACATCTGCGGCATTCCCGCGAGCCGCTCGGTCGAACGAGTCGCTCTGCAACGCCACGCAGCGCAGGCTGAAACGGCCCCGGGCGTGCGCAACCGAGGCAGATTGAGAGATAGAGAGAGGGAGAGAGAGCTGGAGAGGAGCGGAGGCGGAGCGCGAGGGCGAGCGTGGCTGGCGAGGGCCCACCCGAGGAGAAGCCCGCGGGCGCCGACAGTCGGGGACGTCCAAGAGGGGGGCGTCCAAGAGGGGGGGGGGCTCGTTCTGCTTCCGCAAGCGGGGGCGGCCTCGTTCTACTTCCGCCGCCTTTGAAGCCAGCCTTCTGCCGCCTTCCGCCGGAAAAACATGACAAGTCCTTCGGTCCTCGAATCGGGGGCGCCAAGAGGTGGGCATCCAAGAGGGGGGGGCGCAAAACATGGCCGGCGGCATGTGCGCGGGTCAGGGGGGACCGGGGACGCATTGACGCAAATGCCTGCCCCGCGCGCCGTGGGAAGGCAGGGACGTATTGAAACGAGAAGTGGCGCCATGAACTCTGGGGAGATATCAGGGCCCCCGCCGTGAGATCCACGCCCCTAAGCATCACCCCCCTTCTGGTCGCTCCCGAGGCAGGTGAACCGTCTGGCGCCCTTCAGGAACTGCCCCCTCCCACCCCCTTCTTCCTCGCGCTTCTGTCCCGCGCCGACGGTCATCTACCACCACGGCAGCGGTTGCTCCTCCGGCCCAGCCCCAGTCCCTTCTGGAGCCATGTTCTTACCGGCCTGGAACATATCCCTATCCCTGTGTTCGGCACCTCCTCATCACGATGCCAATCTTAGGGATTCCCTTATCTTTTGAGGGCGAATCCCTAAGATTGTCATCGCCTTTTGGCGTGTCGCGATGACAATCTTAGGGATAGGGATACGTTCGAGGCTGGTAATGTTCGGGAACTTTTGCTCAGCGTGTCGCGGCGGCGGCCCCAGCGACACGCTGTGGCTTCTCGAATCGACAGCGGGTCGCTCCGCTCCGCGGGGCGGGAGGCTCGGAGAAGGCTAGGGGCGTTGGCGCTCGGGGACCGGGACGTGTATGGCGTGTCGCGCCGAGGCGTGGCATGCCAAACACCGGCGGAGCGACACGCTATCCAAAAGTCCCCCACCCTGAATGATCCTTTGTACCGTCCGAAGCGCGCCCGGCGGCAGCGAGGGGAGGCGGAGGAGGAGGAGGAGGAGGAGGAGGAGGAGGAGGAGGAGGAGGAGGAGGAGGAGGAAAGTACACCTACGGTCGAGAATTTGGCTTTTCGAACGCGTAGTGTGTCGCTCCGCTCCGCGGGGCGAGAGGCTCGGAGAAGGCTAAGGACGTTGCCGCTCGGGGACTGAGACGTTGAAAGCGTGTCGCGCCGAGCCGTGGTATGCCAGGACTGGCGGAGCGACGCGCTATCCGACAGTTTCGGACTGTACCTGCGAACTTCTGCGCGCCTCTGCGAAGAAGGACAGCCACAGCAGACAATGGCATCCATTTTTCTGGCCCTTCCCCAGATTTTTCCCCAATCAGTGCTTGCACTGAAGGGGTCCTAGCGGAAGTTGAAAGATTTGGCGAAAATTCCCCGCCGATTTTGGTAGCAGGCTGGGTTCCCGGGTTCCCAGTTCCGGGTTCCTGGGTTCCCGGTTATTGGTTCCGGGCCGATTTCGGTGGGTTCTGGGTTCCCGGGCTCCCGAGTTCCCGGTCGATCTCCTCATCGAAAACCGTCCACTGATTGGGGTTTTTCTGGTGCCTGACAGGCCTCTCCTGGGGTGCGCTCTGACCAGACCTTCGCGGAGAATCCAGCCGTGGCGACTAGGACGCTCCAGGACGAGCAGCGGCATCGGTGTCTGTTCCTCCTCCTGCCCCCCCCCCCCTGGGATGAGCAGTGCGCCTCGAGCCCCCTGCTCCGTCTCGGATGGGGGCCTCTGTCGAGACAACGGCAGCTGCGGGACCCCTCCCAGAGGCCCACACGCACCAGTGTCCCGAGCTGCGTGCCGCCGTGGCGACGAGGAGGGGGAGGAGGCCGCGCCCTCGAGGAGGAGGAGGAGGAGGAGGAGGAGGAGGAGGAGGAGGAGGAGGAGGAGGAGGAGGAGGAGGAGGAGGAGGGGGAGGAGGAGGAGGAGGAGGAGGAGGAGGAGGAGGAGGAGGAGGCCAACAGCCGTTGTCTCAGCTCGCCCTCCCCTGCCGGCCCCTTGCCGCGATTCCTCTTTGAGGTTGTACTCGGCGACGGCCACGACCCCCATGAAAAAGAGGCAGTAGGCGCCAACGCCCACCTGCCGCAAGTGCAGGGCCACACGGGGGGAGCCGGCACCACCAGAGGCCTCCCAAATGGAGTCCGAGTTGACGGGGTCGGAGGATTGCGACGTCGACGATGCATCGGCGCTGTTGACAGGGAGACAATCGTAGAAGAAGAAACACGCCATAAACATAAACTTTCGGCGCTCCGCGCGGATTTCTTGGATCTGCGCTGGACACCCTTTTTATTTGGCGCGCGGAGCGCGCCAGGGGCGGGGCCGGAAGCGCCGCCAGGGGGGGCGCAGCGCAGAGCCAAGAAATTCGTGAGGAGCGCCAGCAGTTTATGTTTATATGGCGTTTCTTCTTCTTCTTCCTCTTCTTCTTCTTCTTCCTCTTCTTCTGCTTCTTCTTCTTCTTCTGCTTCTTCTTCTTCTTCTTCTTCTTTATCATCATGCTCCACATCGAGCCGCATCGCTGATGCATCGGCGAGGCGGTGCGGTACACCAGCCCACGCACCTCCGACCCCACCTGGGAGGCCCGAGACCACGAGTCGGCAGGGGAAGGGCCGGATCGGCAGGGACACGCGACCAGCCAGCGAGCGTCGAACTTCATGCGGTTTCCGCCAGCACCTCGTCGGACTTGGAAAAAAGCCAAAACGGCTGAACGTAAACTTCCGGATCCGAAGGGGTTCCTTGGATCTGCCCTGGCCCCCCTGGCCGCGACTCCAGCGCCGCCTCTGGAGCTCCGTGCGCGCCAGGGAAGTCCAGCGCCGATCCGAGAATCCGCGCGGGCCTCTGACAGTCTACAGTCGGGCCGCTGAAAGAAGGAACGCTAAATAGGGAACGAAGCCCCTTCTTGGCCCTGTAAGCGCCTCCGTGCCCCAGCAGGGCAAGAGGAACAGCACTGGAGGAACCTAACTAAGGAACATCGAGCCCCCTCCGAACCCTTGTTTCGGCGTCTTGACTGCATGTTCGTGCAGTCGTTTGTTCCTCGAGGGCACTTGCCGTACCCTGGCACGGCCACGTGCTCTGCCCCGACACCTCCCGGCTCGCTGCCCGTGGAAGCCCGTGCCCCGGCACAGACGCACGAGGTCTCTTCATGGTCCGAGCGCGGCTCTGCCGCCCGCGGCTTCCTCCCCCCACCGCGCATTTCTCTCTTTCTTCCCCTGTGAGGGGGAGGAGGAGGAGGAGGAGGAGGAGGAGGAGGAGGAGGAGGAGGAGGAGGAGGAGGAGGAGGAGGAGGAGGAGGAGGAGGAGGAGGAGGAGGAGGAGGAGGAGGCGGAGGGGAGGAGGAGGAGGAGGAGGAGGAGGAGGAGGAGGAGGAGGAGGAGGAGGAGGAGGAGGGAGGAGGGAGGAGGAGGAGGGGAGGAGAGGAGGAGGAGGAGGAGGAGGAGGAGGAAGGAGGGGGAGGAAGAGAAGAGGGGAGGAGGAGGAGGAGGAGGAGGAGGAGGGAGGAGGAGGAGGAGGAGGAGGAGGAGGAGGAGGTGGAGGAGGAGGAGGCCCACTTCGGCTCCGATGCGTCCCTCGGCTGTCCGCATCGCGCCTTGGACCCCGGATCTCGCACGGCGAAAAGCGCGGCTCTGCGCGACGATGCCGCCACTCGTGGCCGTTGCCTGCCTACGTGGCTGCCTGAGATTGCGGCCACCCCCTGCCAGACCTCCAAAATCCAATATGCACTTTGCCGATCCAATTGGGGGGCGACACGATGCTCTGGGAGCTTAGCTGCCCCGAGGTGCAACACGCAACGCGTGGCGTGCTGACACGGAGCTTACCACGTAGCCTGAACGTGTAGATCTGGCGCGATACGTTCGCCACAACGTGGGCCAACACGTACCGAATCAACACGCAGCGTGTTGACACGGAAATTTGAACATGGTGCGTGCCGTGTTCTAGTACGGGCGTACCAGGGCAGCTGAGTCTGGGAGAACTGGAGGGAGGACGCGAGGTCAGATGGTGCCCGCAAAATGGGGGATGCAAACACGCCGCCGCCACATCATGCCAGACAAACATCCTGCATTACAGTTACGATTTCAGGCGCCTTCCACCACTGCCAAGTGCCTCTTCATTTCGTTGTGCCACGTCCCCTCCGCGGCTTCGTTGTACCCGTGGAGGTCGGCACTGACGGCCTCAAAATCCTTCATCCCCCACCGCTGCCTGTCAGAGGGCGGTGGGCACGGCGCTGACAGAGGCAAGTCATGCATGCCAGCATGTCGAAATTGCTCGATTCGGCCATGGCGGTTCGACATTTTTTTTTTTCTCTCTCTCTCTCTCTCTCTCTCGCTCTCTCTGTCTAGCTCTCCTTCTCTTTCTCTCTCTCTCTCTCTTTTTTCTTCTCTCTCTCTCTCTCTTTCTACATGTGTGTGTGTGTATATATATATATATATATATATTCCTCTTCTTATATTTTTATAAGCCTGGGCGGGGGGAAAACCCGTCCCCCCCCCCCAAAACGGGACTCCTGGGATCTGGGGCTTTGGGACCCTCCCGACGGGCCTCGAAGCGGCCACCGGGCCTCACATGGCGTTTTGCCAAGCCTTCCCAGCACACCTAGGGCGATCAGGGGGGTCATCGGAGACGTCCCAGAGACCCCCAAGACAGCACAAGAGCGCTCCAAGAGTGACCGACGTGACCTCAAGACGGCCCAAGAGGCCTCCAGGACGGCCCCAAAGAGGCCTCTAAGAGCACTCCCCAAAAGGCCCCCCGAAGCAAAAATCATTGATTTCCATTGTTTTCTTGTAAATTTTAGGGTTCTCCTCTTTTCGGCTGCCCGACGCTCCAAGACGGCGGTCTTCTGGGCGTCCGGAGCCGCTTGGGAGGCTCCAAAATCGGCCCACAACCATCCGAAAGGGCTTCCAGGCAGTCCAAGAGAACCCCAAAACGGCACAACACGGGTCCAAGATGGCCCTCAGAGAGCTCCATGGCGGCCCAAGATGGCCCAAAGACACCCTCCGAAGAATTCCAAGTCGTGATTCGGTCGTTCAGGGAGACCGCGGTTGGAGGCAGGGTGGCATGAGGAACCCCCCGGAGGCCCCCAGAATACGCCCAGGAGGTCTCCAGAAGGTCTTAAGAAAACCTGAAACAACTTTTGTGAGGCCCCTAGAGGCTCTCCAAGGAGGAACCTCCGCAACAAAGAGCTGAGGAGGATGGGGAGAATGCACAGGGCATGGCGAAAACAAGGAAAAATAAGCATGGATGAAAGATAACGAATAACATTATTATAGCGGCGATGCCAGAAAAAGGCAACCAGGAGTTATCGCTAAATTGTCGGCTTGACCTTCCTGCTATTCCGCCTGCATACCAAATTTCAAGGACCAAGGTGCATGGCGCGAAGCGCCATTGCAGTCTTGTGTGTATATAAAAACATATATATATATATACATATATATTTACAGGGGGGTGGCCCGGTGGGTTCCCCATTCGGCCTGAAGATGAATATTCTATTTGAAGACTCTATTGTGTTGAAGACTCTATTTGAAGACTCTATTCGCCTGACGCTCGATGACGCCTGTGACGCCTCTATTCTGGCTGACGCCTCTATTGGCCTGACGCCCGATGACGCCTCTGACGCCTCTATTCGTCTGACGCCTTTATTCGCTCGGCGCCGTATTTGCTCTGTCGTTCCTATGGGCCAGACGATCGCTGACACCCGTGACGCCTTTATTCGGTCTGACGCCTCTATTCGGCTGACGCCCGCTGACGCTCCTGACGCCTCTATTCTGCCTGACGCCTCTATTCGCCTGAAGACCGATGACGCCCGTGACGCCTCTATTCCTCTGACGCCTTTATTCGGCTGACGCCCGATGACGCCTGTGACGCCTCTATTCTGGCTGACGCCTCTATTCGGCTGACGCTCGCTGACGCTCCTGACGCCTCTATTCTGCCTGACGCCTCTATTCGCCTGAAGACCGATGATGCCCGTGACGCCTCTATTCCTCTGACGCCTTTATTCGGCTGACGCCCGATATGCCCAAAATCGTAAAAAAACACTGAAAATTACTAAAATATGCCCAAAATCACTAAAAAAGTATGGAAATCGTTAAAATATGCCCCAAATCATTTTAAAAAATTGAAAATCACTCAAATATACCCAAAACAACAAAAAAAACACTGAAAATCATTAAAATATGCCCGACGGACCCTGTCCGCGGCGGGGGGTCTCCCGTGGAGAATCTGGCCCCGATTCCCCACGGGAGATCATCCGCCGCGGACGGGGCCCGACACCATGCCAAATGGGATCTCCCTGGGCGGGTTTTCGGGGCGTGACCCGTGACATCATGCCAAACGGAACCTCCCGGGGCGGGTTTTCGAAGGCCCGACACCATGCCAAACGGAACCTCCTGGGGCGGGTCTAGGGGGCCCGACACCATGCCAAACGGGATCTCCCGGAACCAAATTTTCGGGGCGTGACCCGTGACACCATGCCAAACGGAACCTCCCGGGGCGGGTTTTCGAAGCCCCGACACCATGCCAAACGGGACCTCCCGGGACCATTACTACCCAAAACTACAAAGGAACACTAGAAATCATTAAAATACGTCCAAAATCACAAAACAACATTGAAAATCATTAAAATATACCCAAAATCATTAAAAAGCTAGGGAAATCATTAAAATATCCTCCAAATCACAAAAAAAAAAACACTGAAAATCATTTAAATATGCCCAAAACAACCAAAAAAACACTGAAAATCATTAAAATATGCCCGACGGACCCTGTCCGCGGCGGGGAGTCTCCCGTGGAGAATCTGGCCCCGATTCCCCACGGGAGACCATCCGCCGCGGACGGGGCCCTCGGAAAGCCCCCCAACGGGCCCTGTCCGCGGCGGAGGCTCTCCCATGGAGAATCTGGCCCAGATTCCCCACGGGAGACCATCCGCCGCGGACGGAGCTCTCGGGGAGCCCCCCGACGGACCCTGTCCGCGGCGGGCCGAAACTACAACAAACACTAGAAATCATTAAAATATGGCCAAAATCAGAAAAAAAACACTGAAAATCATAAAAATATACACAAAATCACTAAAACACTATGGAAATCATAGAAAAATCACCCAAATCACAAACAAAAAACATTGAAAATCACTAAAGTATACCCAAAACAACAAAAAAACATTGAAAATCATTAAAATATACCCGACGGACCCTGTCCGCGGCGGGGGGTTTCCCGTGGAGAATCTGGCCCCGATTCCCCACGGGAGACCATCCGCCGCGGACGGGGCCCTCGGGGAGATCCCCAACGGGCCCTGTCCGCGGCGGAGGCTCTCCCATGGAGAATCTGGCCCAGATTCCCCACGGGAGACCATCCGCCGCGACGGGGCTCTCGGGGATCCCCCCGACGTACCTGTCCGGGCTGTCGAAGCTACTAAAAAACACTATAAATCATTAACATATGCTAAAATCATAAAAAAACACTGAAATCACCAGAAATATCCCAACACGCTAAAAACCATGGAAATCTCCAAATAATCACCACATCCTAAAAAAAACATTGAAAATCACTAACATATGGCCAAAACAAAAAAAAAACACACACACGGAAAATCATTAAAATATGCCCGACTGACCCTGTCCGCGGCGGAGGGTATCCCGTGGAGAATCTGGCCTCGATTCCCCACGGGAGACCATCCGCCGCGGACGGGGCCCTCGGGAGCCCCCCAACGGGCCCTGTCCGCGGCGGAGGCTCTCCCATGGAGAATCTGGCCCAGATTCCCCACGGGAGACCATCCGCCGCGGACGGAGCTCTCGGGGAGCCCTCGACGGACCCTGTCCGCGGCGGGCCGAAACTACAAAAAACACTAGAAATCATTAAAATATGGCCAAAATCATAAAACAAAAACATTGAAAATCACTAAAATATGCCCAAAATCACTAAACAACTATGGAAATCATTAAAATATCTCCCAAATCACTAAAAAAACACTGAAAATCACTAATCTATGCCCAAAACAACGAAAAAACACTGTAATTCATTAACGTATACCCGACGGACCCTGTCCGCGGCGGGAGGTCTCCCGTCGAGAATCTGGCCCCGATTCCCCACGGGAGACCATCCGCCGCGGACGGGGCCCTCGGGGAGACCTCCAACGGGCCCTGTCCGCGGCGGAGGCTCTCCCATGGAGAATCTGGCCCAGATTCCCCACGGGAGATCATCCGCCGCGGACGGAGCTCTCGGGGAAACATAAAAAAAAAAAAAAGAAAAAAAATAAAAAGAAAAAAAAAAAGAAAAAGAGAAAAAAGAAAAAAAAAAAACGAAAAAAAAAAGAACACAAAACAGAATCAAAGGAAAAAAAAAAAAAAAAAAAAGGACTAAAAATATAAAAGAAAAGCCCCCCGACGGACCCTGTCCGCGGCGGGCCGAAACTACAAAAAAACACTAGAAATCATTAAAATATACCCAAAATCACAAAAACACTGAAAATCACTAAAATATGCCCAAAATCTTTCAAAAAACTATGAAAATCATTAAAATATCCCCCAAATCATAAAAAAACATTGAAAATCATTAAAATATTCCCAAAACAACAAAAAACAATACGGAAAATCACTAAAATATGCTCGACCGACCCTGTCCGCGGCGGGGGGTCTCCCGTGGAGAATCTGGCCTCGATTCCCCACGGGAGACCATCCGCCGCGGACGGGGCCCGACCCCATGCCAAACGGGACCTCCCGGGGCGAGTTTTCGAAGGCCCGACACCATGCCAAACGGGAGCTCCCGGGACCAAATTTTCGGGGCGCGACCCGTGACACCATGCCAAACGGAACCTCCCGGGGCGGGTGTTCGAAGGCCCGACACCATGCCAAACGGAACCTCCCGGGGCGGGTCTAGGGGGCCCGACACCATGCCAAACGGGACCTCCCGGGGCGGATTTTCGAAGCCCCGACACCATGCCAAATGGAATCTCCCGGGGCAGGTTTTCGAAGCCCCGACACCATGCCAAACGGAACCTCCCGGGGCGGGTTTTCGAATGCCCGACACCATGCCAAACGGGACCTCCCGGAACCAAATTTTCGGGGCGTGACCCGTGACACCATGCCAAACGGAACCTCTCGGGGCGGGTTTTCGAAGCCCCGACACCATGCCAAACGGAACCTCCCGGGGCGGGTTTTCGAAGGCCCGACACCATGATAAACGCAACCTCCCGGGGCGGGTCTAGGGGG